TTATTTATTTATTTATCTATTTAAGTTAGTTTATTTATTTTTGGCTGTGTTGGGTCTTTGTTGCTGCACGCAGGCTTTCTCTAGTTGCAGAGAGCAGGAGTTACTCTTCCTCGTGGTGCAAGGGCTTCTCACTGCAGTGGCTTCTCTTGTTGTGGAGCACGGGCTCTAGGTGCACGGGCTTCAGTAGTTGTGGCATGCAGGCTCAGTAGTTGTGGCACACGGGCTTAGTTGCTCCGCGGCATGTGGGATCTTCCCAGACCAGGGCTCGAACCCGTGTCCCCTGAATTGGCAGGCGGATTCTTAACCACTGCGCCACCAGGGAAGTCCTCACATTTATTTGGATCCAGTAATATGCCCAAGACCATGCTGTGCCTGGTCACGTATGAGATCTCATTTAACCCAAACAACAAGTGTGTGACGCAGATATGAATGGCCCTTCCTAACAGATGAGGAGACAGGTTCCTAGACATAAATCAACTTGCCCAAAGTCACAGAGCTACTAACTGGCAGTGGCAGGACCCCCTGGCTCTCACTCTCACAACCTTCTTCAAATATTGACATAAATGCCGCTGCTCTTGGCTCCGTGCCCTGGTACCAGCGCTGTGCCCATTGCCGGCCGGTCTTCCTTACCTGCGCTCACCCTCTGCACAGGGAGCCCCTGGAGGAGCTGTGGAGGGGGAGCTTGGTTTTGAAACTTCTCCATTTTCTAATCCTGGGAACCCAGCTCTACACCGTCCTTGTGCAAAGGTTCAGATGCTGGGGGTTGCCTTTTTAGAGAGGCTGACAAACACAGTCCAGAATTCTGTTAGTACTTAGCCTGAGCAGACAGCCACAAGAAGAAAAAGTTAAAAAAAAAAAAAAAGGCACGAAGATGTTGATCACAGCACTGTGCATCTTGGAGAAATGCTGAGATTCATCTGGATACAGGAGGGGAAGGATTAAGCCAACAGAGCTCATCAGAGGGCTGGCTTCATGGGAGGGACCCAAGCTCGGTTCAGTGCTCTGTGGTCTCTGTCTTGAAATTCTTAATTTTATCTTTGAACTTGTAAGTTTTATGCGTGAAGTCCAGTGGGATGATGTGGCGTGCACATGAGCAGAGGAGGTAATCTGAAGAAAGGAAAAAGTTTTATTTTTAGTGCCTTTAATGGCACAGTGTTCCCGACTTGTGAACAAGGGACACACATTTTATTTTGCAGTGGACCCCACAAAGCGTGTTGCTGGTGCGGTGAAAAGAGCACGGGGCTGGGGTCCAGGAGAGTGGGGTTCAAGGTTATTCCCCTCTGGGCCTCAGTTTCCCCACCTGTAAATGAGGGGTTGGCCCGCTGACCTCTATGATTTTATGAACATTATATTGAACATTATGAACATTATACTGTCATTAAAAATGGAAAATGAGGTTAGGCCTCTGCACTTTCACTGCTGAGGGCGTGGGTTCAATCCCTGGTCCAGGAACTAAGATCCTGCAAGCACGCAGCATGGCCCAAACAAACAAATAAATAAATAAAACAGCCGGTATCCTCAGCTACCCCCCCTCCCCCCACCAGGGTTTTGCTCAGCAGTGCTGGGCCACAGGACCCTTTATACAAATAAAAATAAAAAATGGAAAATGTGTAGAACCCATCAATACCAAAAGAAAATCAGTACTCAGAAAAAGCTACAGTGAGAAAAACCAGATCCAGGAAGAAGGGGCTGGGATCATAGCCACGGGATCTAACTAAAGCCTAACAAAGATAAGGCGAGAATTCGGACGAGGTGAAACAGCTGAGTTGAACGCCTTCTAGATTCTTTTCTATTTTTCCTTACGCAATTTGCGTTCATAATGAAAATGCTTTTTTTCAGAAGCTGGGGAGGAGGAAGCAAAGATGAACCTAGAAGAATTAGACCCGAGTGGTGGGGTTTTAGACGGGATGAGGGCAGGCTGTCAGCTGGGTGAGCCCTCACCTCTCTCTCCCTTTCTCCCACGAGATGTCCCGGGGCTGTGACTGAAGGAGGCTAGAGAGGGGACAGGGCAGGGTCTCCGCTTCCTGGACCCTCAGGGGAGATGGGTTGGAGCCAGGAAGGGCTCGGCGACTCCTCCAAGGCCCCTTCCGTGACTCCAAGCTAGTGATATATATCTAAGGTTCTTACACCCCCAGATTCAGCGATCCCCCCTATCTCGGTGCCGCCAGGAGCCGCGAGTGAAGTGAGAGATCAGAGGAGCTGCCTGCCAGGGAGCAGGGGAGGGGAAGGGAGGTGGGAGGGCTGTGAAGGGGAGCAGGTGGGAGAAGGAAGGTGAGTCAGCGCAGAGCGGAACAGCAGGGCTTTGCAGCCTTGGAGCCTCCCTGCAGCGGCGTGCTCGCCTCTGGGCTCTGGGCTCGCACCCCTGTGGTCCCCGCCCCCCCCCGTGCCCACCCCCAGTGCCCTCCGCTTTGACACCCCGGAAAGTCCTTGCTTCGGGCGCTCGTCAAAACTTGTCTATCCTGTGTCCTACTCGCATGTAAACAGAGAGATGGGCCCTCCTTAAGGAGCCACTGTCACAAGTGTCTGAGCAAAGTGGCACACTGGTGACAAGGAAGGTGTTCGAGAGGGACCTTGAAGTGTCGCCACATCACTCTGGACGGGAGGCCCTCTTAGGGTGGGCCCACACCCCTTCCTCTCTTGTCCTTATGGATGGAGGGCTGGGCAGCCTCTAAGATGTGCTCCAGGTCGAAGGTGCTGTATCCAAGGGTGCCTGAGTCTGAGGTTTTCTTTAGTTACCAGTGGCAGCCCAGGGCACCAGAGCATCACTGAGATGAAGCAGGCAGGAGAGGATGAGATAGACGAGGTTCTCCCAGGGGTCTGCAGGGCTGGATGGGGTGGGGGGTGACACCCTGGGGTGCTCCCACCTGGCGCTCTTCTGAGAGCGTGGGCAGGTGAGCGGCTGTACTTTTGTCTTGCTGAGTGGCCCCTGTAGGCCCTTCGAGGCCCCCAAAGGTCACAGGTGCACTATGGGAAATCTGGGTAGGGGCAAAGGAGGAAAAGGGAGGCAGCCCCTCCCCCCTCTCCTAGCCCCTGCCTCAGGGAGGACGGGAGTGAAGGGGAAGCCAGCCCCTGGGCTTCTGACAGTCTTCACCTTGGTTCAGGCCAGCCCCTTTGTTCTCTGGGCCTCAGTTTCCTCTCTGAGACCAAACCCTTGTCCCACCTACCTTGAAAGGTGTTATGCAAAAAAGAGACATTGTAATGAGTTGTTGGGGACTTGGACCCCTTTCTCCAAGAAAGAGGCCTCAGGTTCTCCTATTAAACTGTTAAGGCATGTGGAATGCACCATGATTTACCCAAATGGCCAAATGTTGCCTGATGAAATGTGGTCATTCACAAGCAGCCGACAGCTCTTCACAGCAGGTGAGCCTGCCTCCTGGTTCCCTGTGTTTCCTGAGAGAGCTGGCACCTTTGCTAGAAGATTCCTGGGAGCAGGGAGGGTGCCCTCTGCTTCCTCATACTCCGAATGTTGGGTACACGGTTGGCCTGTAAAATAGACTTAGAGCTGGAAGGAACCCCCAAACTCGAAGATTCTGTGATCGATGAGCGATCATGGCCACAATTCCACCGAGTGTGTTCACCCTTTGCGATAGGACTTGACCACGCTCCCAAGGGGTGGAGTCGGTTTCCTGCCCCTTGAATTGTGACTGGGATTAGCCAATAAAATGCAATGGAAGTGATGTTATACAAGTTCAAGGCTAGGCTCCAGAGACTTTGCAGCTTCTGCCTTCACCCTCTTAGGCGCCAGGAAGGGACCCGGTGTAGCCAAGTGGGGGAAGAGAGGCCACTGGAGGAGAGCCGGGGCCCCCCGTGCCCCCCACCCCCACCCCCACCCCCGGGCCAACAGTGAGACCTACTGCCCAACACGTGAGTGAGGCCCTCATGGATCTTACAGCCTGGCTGATCTCCCCGCTGAGCAGGGCTGCTGGAGTGAGCCCAGGGAAACCAGATGAGGAGCCGCGCAGCCCTCCTACAGCGCCGCAGAAAGAATAAACCATTGTTGTCTAAGTTGAGGGTGGCCTGTTACACAGCACAGGCTAACTGAAGCCCGGGGCGGGGAAGGGACTCACCCAAGGCCCCACAGTGAGGCAGAGACCAGGTCCGACTATGACCAGGTTTCCCCGCTGCCCCCTAGAGCCCTTCCCACCACAGTGTCCTGCAGCCAAGTTAATCAGCCCAGCCTGGCGGGGGTGGTTATGTGGGGTGTAAACCAAGCAGGCTCTTCCCACTTCTCCCTGAGTCATAAAGGGTTGGCTGACGTCCACACAGGCTTCCCCTGCCCATCATCACTTAGGAAGAAAGTATGGTTCATCCCATTCTAAAGATAGTGAAGCTGAGACCAAGAGCTGATGGGCAACTTGCTGACAGCCACACAGCTTGTTAATAGCAAAGCTCTGACTCAAACCCACTCAGACCTCTTAGGGCCACTTAGGATCCTTCCCACTGGCTCCCAGGAAGGAGACCAGCAGGTGATAAAGTTCCCTCCAAGGGTCAGTCTCTCAGACAGGGGCACAGACACATACACAATACATACAAACCTACCACACACACACACACACACACACACACACACACACACACACAATACACACATATGTACCACACACAGACATGCCACGTTGGTCTCTCTCTCTCTCTCTCTCTCTCCTCTCTCTCTCTCTCTCTCTCCGTTTCCCTCTATCTCTCCTTCCCAGCCCTCCATCTTCAATCAGCCTACCGCTAATGGACCATATACTTTATTAAAAATATATAGTTACAAACTCCATTGTCAACCTGGGCTGGGCCTGCAGGCCCAGAGGGCCCACAGGGAGGGATGGCCCTTACCCTGCTCCTTGAGGTCCCACTTCTGCACCCAAACCCAGTACTATCCAGGGGCCAAGAGAGCTGGCTCCGAGGGTCTCAAGGGACCAGCCAGCTGGGCAGGGGAAGGTTGGGCTTGAGGGGTGCGGAGTGCGAGGGCTGCACCTCCTCGCCCTGCAGGTACAAATGGCAGAAGGTGGATGTGGTGCCTCCATCTCTCCATTTATAGATATTTACGAAAGAAAGTCATGAGCAACAGACCACAGTCATGCAAAAGAAACGCACACCCCTCCCACCCCCTCAAACTAACCACTGGCCCACCCCAGAACCCCAAGATGCCCACCCCCGACAGTCCAGCCGCCTTCCCCAAGGTTCTGAGAGCAAAGGGGGAATGTCCTTGAAGGGTCGGTGGGGAAAGGGTGGTGGGTCTGGGGTTCCTGAGCCGCCAGTGGGTAGGTGCTGGAGAACCCAGGCTGACCAGACCGAGGGTATCCTGGCCCTTTCCCAGGCCTGGGTTCTGGAGTCAGTAGGAAGGGGCCTCCCAGTCTCTGAAGCCCCCAGCTCTCTCCAGAAGGTCCTTGGAGCCAGGGTGAGCCACTCTGTCCTGAGTGCGGTGGAGGTGTCCTGGCAGCCCACCCCCGGAAGAGGCTCTGGTGGGAAGCGAGAGGGCGGGCCTGGAGGTCAGATGGCGGACTCCCTGCGGTAGGAGATGTTGTCCAGCGGGAGGGTGGCTTGCATGCGCTCCAGATCCAGGTGGCTGCCAAACTCCAGCATCCGGATGATGCCCGCCTCCTCCTTGGAGCCTGCCTCCAGGCCCAGGCCCGCGGCCACGGCGGCAGCAGCCGCGGCCTCCTCCTCCATCTCCTCTTCCTCCTGGCTCATGAGGGCCAGCTCGTTCTCGTAGCAGAAGGCACTGGGCGGGGGCGGGGGGGCGGGCAGCACGGTGATCTTACTCTCCTGCAGCTCCCGGGCGGAGCAGCAGGGCGTGCCGGCCACCTCGTAGGTCTTGTGGAAGCGCGAGTAGTCCACCTTGTAGTGGCTCTTCTCCTCGAAGACCACGGGCTCGAAGCGGTGGCCCCATAGGATCTCGCTGGCCAGGTAGGAGCTGCGGGCCTGGGTGGTCATGGCCGTTGCCTCCACCATGCCCTCCAGGATGACCACGATCTCAAAGTCCTCCGACTCCAGCTCCTCCTTGCCCATGCCGTAGAGCGGGCTGTCCTCGTCGATCTCGTGGACGATGATGATGGGCGACACCAGGAAGATGCGGTCCAGGCCGATGTCGTAGCCCACGTTGAGGTCCCGCTGGTCCAGCGGCAGGTACTCGCCCTCCTGGGTCATGTAGGGCTTGATGAGCTGGGCCCGCACGTGGGCCTCCACGATGTGGCTCTTGCGCAGGTTGCCCACGCGCCACATCAGGCAGAGCTTGCCGTCACGCACCGAGATGACCGCGTGGTGGCTGAACAGCAGCGTCTGCGCCCGCTTCTTGGGCCGGGCCATCTTGGCCATGATGGTGCCGATCATGAAGGAGTCGATGACGCAGCCCACGATGGACTGGACCACCACGGCGATGACCGCCAGCGGGCACTCCTCCGTCACGCATCGGAACCCGTAGCCGATGGTAGTCTGCGTCTCCACTGAGAACAGGAAGGCACCCAGGAAGCCGTTCACGTGCATGATGCAGGGCTTGGCGGCCGCCGGGGCCGCCCCGCCGCCTCCCGCCACCGGGGCCCCCGCCGCGGGCCCCCCCGGGCCGGCCTCCAGGTCACCGTGGAAGAAGGCGATGCACCAGAAGAGGAGGCCAAAAAAGAGCCAGGAGACAAGGAAGGCCGCGGAAAAGATCATCAGCATGTAGCGCCAGCGTGTGTCCACGCAGGTGGTGAAGATGTCCGCCATGTAGCGCTGCGACTTGTTGCTCAGGTTGGCAAAGTAGACGTTGCATTGGCCGTTCTTCTTGACGAAGCGGTTGCGGCGTTTCCGCCGGGGCACGTGGGCCTGCCCGTTGCGGCTGTGCCCGTGCATGTCCTGAAGCCGGCGTGGTCACCTGGGAAGACGCAGGGCCTGCGGGGGAGAAGCAGACGCGTGAGACGCTGGCGAGCGAGTGGCTGCCTGCCGTGGGAGCGGCTCTCCAAGGGCCCCCGGAGTCCAGGTTCCAGGGCTGCAGGGAACCCACCCAATGATGCTCAGAAGGGGCGGAGCCTGGACTGGGACCCAAGGCTTCCTCCACCACATGGGCAGAATGTTAAGGTGGTTCTGACGACAGGGAGGGCGTGCCTCCGTGGCTGGCCCAGCTCCGGGATCGGGGTCTGCCAGACCAGAAGCTGAGGCCACCGGGATCCAGGCCCTAGTCCCAGCCCCTCCCGCTGCCCCTCCTCCCCCACCGAAACCTCCTGTGCCTGCTCTTCCGGGGGGCTTCCTGATGCCCATCTCAGCACCGCCCCCGCACTGTTTGTCTCACGTGCCCTGAGCAGAGGAAGTGGTGAACGCTCTGGGCCCCGCTCACCTCCCCGGGTTCAGCCTCTGCCCTTCTGGGTCTCTCGGGGGCCGGACATCCTTCTGCGCCGTCCAGTTCGGCAGCCACTGGCCACCTGTGGCTCTTACATTTAATTAAAATTAAATAAAATGTTAACTTCAGTTCCCCGGCTGCACTCGCCACATTTCAAGGGCTCCATAGCCACATGTGGCGAATGGCCACCATACTGGACAGAGCAGATGCAGGACATTTCCATCATTGCAGTAAGTTCTACTGGGCAGTGCTGGGACCCACAGTCCAACGTCAGTTCCTGTCCTGTCCCCAAACTTGTTGGGAGCAGTGGTGGGTGAACACTCCAGTGTGGTGGTCAGGATGGAGGTAAGGGGAGCCCTGATTTTTGGCTCCCGTGTAGGCATCCCTATTTCCACATCACAGGTGAGGAAATGGGGGCTCAGAGAGGGGAACCGGCCTGTCTAAGGCCTCACAGCTGGTAAGTGGGTCCAGGTCCAGGCGTGTCTAACTCTTCAGCCCCCAGGTGCTGTCAGGATTGCTGAGTTCGCGGTGTGAAGACCTGGGGTGGCGGAGGCAGACACACCACTACCTAGCTACGTAAACTCAGGCAACCCATTTCACCTCTCTGAGCCTCCGTTTCCTCAGTTGTAAAACGGGGATCAAAACCCTACCTCACAGGACCCGAGGAGACAGTAGGTGCTCAGTTAAAGCCAGTTGCCCTCCTGCCTTCTTTCCCGCTTCCTAGAGCAGGAGGAAGCTGGTGAGAGGCAGGATTTGCCTGTCAGCATCCCCAGCTGTTTCGGTGGAGGCGGCCTCTCACCCTGCCGGGTGGCGGGCGTGCCAGTTGGGCCCACGGAGGGCAGACCTTCCCTCACCCTCCCCTCCGCTGGGGCCCCAGGAGAGAGATGGTGCCGCCCAGGGCCCCAGCGGATGGCAGGGCCGGGGCTGGGCCCGGGCCCGGGTTCCCGGTAACGTTTTGGCCCAGAATTATATAAGGCTGGAAGTTTCTATTTTCTGTTCTATTCTTCTTCCTGATCTAATTGTGCATCTGTGGCAATGTTTATACACTTCCCCGGTTCAGGACAACTCGGTTGCCGCAGCAACCGGTGCGCGCCAACGCTGTAACTTAGAGATCAACAGCTTCAGAGCCTGCCTCTTCCTGGGAGAAACTCCCTCTCTCAGCCCAGGGAGAGTGAGCCCTGCCCCCATCTCCCCCCTCCCTGCGGTCACCCCACCCTGACTCTGGGTTCTCCTCCCTTCCCCCCTTAAAAGGAGCTCCCTGCATCCCGCAGTCCTGGATTGAAGTCCCAGATCCACCATGTAACTCGGGCAAGTTACGTGACTGCTCTGCACCTCAGTTTCCTCATCTGGAAACTGGGACCAGTGAGACCCATCAGTCTAAAGACCTAACAGGTAATGCGGGTGTGCAGGGCTGGCCCTTAAGAGGTCATGATTTTAACTGGGCATCCCAGACCCTCTCTGCTACCTCCCCTAGAGTCCCAACAGCCAGGGCTCCAGGTGGGTAGCCCTGAGGGCATTGGGGGTCAGGGGCACCTTCAAGGCTATAAATGGCTTTCAGGGAGGTCTTCCTTCGCTAAATACATCCCTTTCTGCTTTGTCTCACCATCTCGAATGCATCCATTCGCACCACAGAAAGAACCAGAGCCCGTAGGAAGGGTTTCAAGATCACTGATTTCAAGACCCTCATTTTACATCTGAGGCCAAGGAAGCTCAGAGCTGAAATGAACTTGCTAAGGGTCCCAGAGCAGGTGCGCCAGCCCTGAGCAATCACCTCACTTCCACTCCTGGAAGGTCAAGGAGGTGCTCCTGGGAAGAGGAGCTTCCTCTCTGGACGGGGTTGGGGTAGAACTTCGGGCTAAGGAAGAGAGGGCACCAGCCCAGCCCTGGCAGGCCCTGGACCCACCAGCCTCAGGTTTGCAGGATAGAGGCAGAGGGAACAGAGTGTAGCAACCTGGACCTTTGGTGGATGAAGATGGTGAGGCCCAGAGAGGGTAAGGGCCCTGTCCAAGGCCAGACAGGAGCCCAGGGTGCTGCGGGGCCCTCGATCTCTGCCCAAAGGGACAGGTCCTGACCTTGGGGGTTCATCTGGTGCTGCAGGAGAGGGTTCTTCACGGGGCTCCCCTCACCAGCACTGCCCACTGTTTCCCATCCCTGAGTGGAAGTGCCAGGAGTCTCAGCGAAGCCCCAGGACGAGGCTCTGTACGTCCCTACCCCCTACACTCAGCCCCAGCCCCTGCCCTTCCGTCACCCCAATTCCCCATCCCCGGCACCCACATGTAGCCCGGGTGGGGGCACAGCTCATCTCCTGGCCCCACGCCTCTCCCAGTCACAGCAACCATTCCCCAAGCCCCTGCCCAGGGCCAGGCCGGGGGCCACCACCGCTGTACCCGCTAGCTCGGGCGGTGCTCAGAAACGTCCACTCCTGGGCCTTTGGGAAAGCTGCCCGCGAGCACAGGTGCTGCCACCAGGTCCGACACCCTCCACCACGGGCAGCCCGTGTGTGGGGCGTCCCCCTGAAGACCCTGGGCTGGTGAGGGCCTAGCCCCTCGTCCTCAGTGACCTGCCCAGATACACCACCACTCCATCCATCACCACAGCCCCTGCACAAGAGCAGGAGGTTAGGCTGCCGGCAAGGATGACACAAAGTGAGGGGTACGGAGCTCGGCGAGTGCTCGCGGGTCACAGCCGCCAGGAGACAGCCAGCTTTTCTGTCCCTTGTTTGTCACACGGGGCTTCCTGGCGAAGGCACAAGGACCCAAGGGAAAAGTGTGAAAGAGAAAGGGACACAGATCATGGGAGAGAGGCGACAGGCATTGATGATTGGGTACCATCTTCCTCCGAATATAGATGTTTTATTAAAAGAGAGAGAGAGAGAGAGAGCAAGGGTGTCCTAGCTGTTCAGGTGCCTGTACCATGGCTACAACTAAGTGTACTCTTCTGGAAAAAGGGAGCTGGTCTAACCCGCTTGCACCAAAAGTGCCCTGTGTGCACACACTGGGGAACAGGGTTTCTATGGTGGGGGCCTGGCGGGCCAGGCGCTCTGGCTGCCTTGTTGGGTGACCTGGAACAAGTCCCTCCCCTTCCCAGCCAGGCTCTCCCTCGTTTATTCTAAGAGTGCAGCCTGCAGCATCTTTCATGGTGAACGTTCTTTCTTTTTGTGAAATAATGGGGATGGGAGATGCTGGCTGCTTTTTGAAATGTAATGTCCTTTCTTAGCCAAGTGAAGAATCGACAATGCTGTGCAAGTTACCAACTTTTTTTTTTTTTTTTGGTTTTGCTGTGCTGTTTCCCCAGTTGTCTGGATCCTGGACAACTAGGGAAACCGAGGCTGAGAGCAGGGCTGTGGCACATGAGTCAGCAGCTGGCGATGGACACCTGAGCCTCAGGGAAA